ATATATATATATATATATATATATTTGTGTAAATGTATTTATTTGTTTTGTAGAGGATCTGGACATCTTTTTCTGGGTGTTTCCTTGTTTGCAGGTGAGCGAGGTGGAGGTGAACGGGCAGATCGAGGCCGTGTGTGAGTCAGTGTTCAGTGAGCTGGAGTCCCAGGCGGTGGATGCCCTGGACCTGCCCGTGCCCGGCTGCTTCCGCATGCGGAGCCACAGCTACGTGCGCGCCATAGAGAAAGGCTGCTCTCAGGAAGAGGAGGAGAGTGGCGTCACGGCCATCAACAGGAGGAGCGACTCTCCCCCTCGCACCTCCACCACCGTCCGGACCATCCAGAGCAGCACAGGTTGGTGGGAACCTGCGAAACCCATTCAGACACGTGCACGTACTTACAAATTTTATGTCCCATTATAAAATAATCCATGTGCAGAAATATTTCATTATTAATTTTTTTTGCGCTAGAAACTCTTTTGCACATTTGAACTTATCTTTGCAAACACAAACTCTCACTTTTTCTATTATTATCCGTTTGACCCAGTTTTTTTCCTTTATTAGATGAATCCGAAACTTTATTTTTTCTCACACAGAGAGCTTATCTGAGCTCTAAAGCTTATAGTGACTGAATCTTATTTTAGGCCCCTCGTGTGCCTCATGGTCTGCAGAGCTTGACTTTCCAGCATAACTGCTTGCAGTATTGATGCTGAGTAGTGCTGGCATCCAGCGCTGAGTGCCTCCGTGATTTCTACACTGCAGAATCTAAGTGTCATTCCGTTATGTCGTTGAGCCGCTGCTGTCCTCCTCCTGCGCGCCGACTTCCACTTCATCTGTTTAATTGTGCCAATTAGACAGCATTTCCCCCAAAACCTAGCTGAAAAGGGTAACAGGCAGCTTATTAAACACACTCACCACAGAACTTTCAATGAAGTTTTGACAGTGAAAAACATACTTTGTTGCTTTAATTCCCTTTTCAGACTTATATTTCCTTACTGTCATTGTAAGAAGAGGGGTTTGCTCAAAAATGCTTGGACTGGAATAAATTATAGGTCTTTATATTCCCTGTGTCTGCATACAAATACATTATCTGGCCAACCCAACAGACTTAATGCCCTTGATGCCCACCCATGATTTAGAGTCTAGTGGCTGAGGATACTAAAGCACAGTGACAACAAATTTTAAAAAGGGGTCTTACAAATGTGTTTATCACTGTTGTTTTAATAAGTGCAATATTATTGTTATTTTTGTAACGTTGTGCAGCCCCACTTCACGGTTTTTAGAGTTTTGCAGGAGAGAGCCAACATTCTCACACACAAACACGCAGAATTTTCTGCGTTTCACACGGAATCGGCTGGGGGCCCAAAGTGAGAAGTGAAGATGTTGTGGTAAATACTGCATGAGGTTTCTGAAGGCTGTTTTGAAGCACCAGTTCCAGTAAAAAAAAAAAAAAAGTCCCACATTTATGTCTTCTGCTCCCATTTGTCCCCGCGGCAAACTGCCAAAATATCACACACACACACACACACACACACACACACACACACACACACACAGTGCCATAAAAAACCCGCTCATGCTCCTGTCACTGTCGTGCAACTCCTGCCCTTTATTACTGATGATCTTTATAATCCAAAGGAAGGAGACCGAAGTCCTTTGATCTCTTCTCTTTGAACGTCAAGTGGCTGCTGCTGGCCGCCTCGCTGCCCGCTCAAACTGGCACACTTCGCTCGTGCTCACAATCATTCACACAGGCATCGCCGTGGCCCCGGACCGGCACGTTTGGCTGAGACGTCGGCTCTATTGGATCGGTTTAACAAAATCTGCAGCAGATCCTCTTTGTAAAGCTTGGGAAAATCCATAGTAATCAGTTAACGTGAGGACTTTGCTGCCACTAAGCTGCATCTACTCCGCCACACATCGTCTTCATTTAACGTATTAATCACCTTTTCACTATGCTACATCTTTGACTTCTTAACATCTCCTGCAGTTTAGTTGACTTACTGCAAGAAGCACACGAAACGGCAAAAAAGTCTGGACAATTTGTTGCATTTTTTTCTTTCTCTTCCCTTACTCATCTGTTGGTAATAAATCTGCCTAATTTTTCATGCATCCCTCCCTCACAAGTGCTAATAGAATGACTGAAAAGAGTGTCTTCCCTCCACCTCATCTCTGTTAAAAGACTGTTTAATTTATTGGCTGTGATTCCACCCCCCCACCCCCAGCTCCAAAGAGGCATTCTGCTGAGTAAAGCACTCCTAAAGAGTTGGGCACGTGAGGCATGCTTGTGCTTCAAATTGCTGACGGCCTTGTCAAACACTCAGCAGAATACAGCCTCTTCATTTAGTTTGTTCATTCAGGTCTGAGTACATTTTATCTGCTTGCATAGTTTTACAATATTTCCAGCAGTTAAATAAAGACAAATTGCCTGCTGCCTCATGAAAACAGTTTGAGCTGATAGAATGTACAAAAAAGATTGATAGGTCATTAAAAATCTAAATGAAAGGAAAATGTTAAAGCCTTTAAAYTGGAGCTCAGTGAAAAGGTTGTGAAAAATTGATATCCTACCTGCTTTAGAAGCTGTAATTAAGTCCAGTTTTCTATTTATAATTCGTTTTCTCCAACCAATGGTCATGCAAATCATCATCTATAACCGGTTAGATATTAACTGTTCGTAAACTTACTTAATCCAAAGATCTAGACAATCGCTTTAAGACATCAGAAGCCTGAAGGGGAATAACAAAATAAAAACAAGTCTGAGTTTAACTCAAATTGAATATCTGTCAGCTTATGCAGCTTGAAATGCATATTAGAAATTAATAAAATAATGCTCAAAATTATCAGTTCCGCCAAAATCTTACCTCAAATTGTTTACAAGATTCTAACAGATAGGTTAGGAAAATATTGTGTACTCTTGAAAGATACAGAAATAAATATATTTTAATGCTTTGCAATAAATATTTGAGGGAAGAAAAAATATATATACATTTTTTCTTCTGCAGCAACTCCCTTTTAAATGTGTTTCTACTTTACAATTACTTGAACAGAAAWTTTGCTAAAAATTTGCGCAGCAAATTTTAAGGTTTCACATTTTATTGATTCAACATTTTCTCAAACTCCATATGTGTTTAAAAACCTCAGTTTAACCGTTACAGATTGCTACATTAACCTTATAAGAGCGATCCTACTGGAATGTCTTCAGGTTATACGCTGCACTGAAATAACCCAGTGTTGTTAAGTATTCCCCGCTTTATTTTTACAGCTGAGTACCAAGTTGAACTAAAAACTGTACAACACTGCCCCCAGGGGCTGAGTGTAACACGGCCCTCCACCTCTGCCCTTTCCTTCTACTGTAGCTGTTGAGAGTGGGTGGATGCAGAAGCAACCAGACAGCTTGACCCAATTAACAACAATCGCTGCCATCGCTGGCACTTTTCCACGAGTTCTCTTTTCTCAGAGCCTGTGAGAATAAACATCATCGGATTTCCCAGCGTGCTAAATATAAGCGGCAGGGACACAGACTGATAAAGTCCGACCYAATCAGGATCAAGCTAAGCATTCGACCAGATCCCCCCCTCCAARGCCACCACCTCATGCCACAACCAGCCCACACAAATATCCAAGAGCAAGACTGAAATGTGTTTGTCATGTGTCAGGAGGACTCAGATGTTGCAGAAATCAAAGAAAACGCCCCGCTCTGGGGCTTTCCTGTGAGTTTCACGAAGGACCCCTGTTTAGAGAGGAACTACAGGTGAAAAATTCTCATGGCAGCGGGTTTAATGGAGCTTTAAGCTGGACAAAAARGGACCTCTGAGCAGCGTTTCTCTGCCCCATGGTGATGCTGTCAGTAAGTGTTAGAAGAAGTGAGAAAAAGCCCTGTTTTAGTCATGAGCTCAGAGCAGAGAGGAGAGTAAAAGTAAACAAGCAGTCTCCAAGTTTGTTTGATTAAAGTGGTTATTACGGCTACCATGTTTCTTGGCTGCTAGCTGGTTCTGGAAGTTCGTGTCTAACCATTTTATTACAGTACAGAAAGACAGTTCTGTAATGCTACAAGAGATGAAAAATTAACACAACTAAAACATATTGTTATTCACATGGGTTACTATTGAGGATTCTGTTATGAGGAATCTGCTGCCTCCAGGCAAACAATATGCTTTTTGGAAAACTGCACAGCTCTTCAGTAACTTACATTAGACTAGATTAACCCACTGCCTGTCCCTCATGATCCAGAACCATCTTGAGGCCTTCTCTGCGACATCTGAGGCAATAAGAATCCTCTTGTAGTTGTAATTTACAGGARGGTTCTGCATCTTAAGGGACTGTTAAATCTAAGTAATGAAGAGTTATTTATTTAACCTAGTTGTGTCAAGGGGTTCCACAAAACCTGATTGTTTAATAAAAAAAATAAAATAAAATGTGTTATTTGAAACTTTGTCTCCACCAAATAAGTCATGGATAGCAATGGATTGAAAACATTCAAGTCTTCTAAAAACATACAGACTAAAAATGGTTAAGTTAGTTATAAATGGACTCCAGAATAAAGTGGCACATACATAAAGCATTGTGGGACAATATTTATTTAGTAAATGGAAAGGGGCAAAGTTAGATTTAATTTTCAGTAATTAGTTGCTTCAGTAGCTCTTATTATCGCTTTAAAGATGTCATTTATAAAACACTGGGACTTTTATTTCACCACTAAGCAACACTGACATTTGAGAAGTTATTAGTGAGGTGGGGAGAGTCTGCATGGTGACAGCAGACGAAACTTCCCCACCCTGAATAATGACTTTAAAGTTGGGGGGTGGATGTTGGGAATCCACACAAGATCCAATATCGTCAGAAACAGAGAGCGAGGAGTGGTTCTGTGAGCCCGGCTCAGAACTGTGGTTCCACTCGCYTTCATGTCGGTACTTCAGTGCTTATACAGCGCGCTGCTCGGCGTGTGGGACTTCTGGACCCGTCTGTGTGAGTTCAAGCTGCTGTTTTCCTCTTGTTTGTCGGTGAAGCATGAAGAAATGGGAGCTGCGTCACTTACAGCACGCTGTGTACGTCAGCGGAGGCAGAAACAGGAAGTGTGGCTACGGGACCTTCAAAGTAAAATCGTTTATTTCTTTAAAAAAATTTAAAACGGGGAATAATCGCGACAGAAAACACCTTGAAATCCAACAGTTTTTTTTATTACAGCACATGACAATGATTAACATGGAGCTAGACATTAATATCACATAGCTATTTTTACTGTTTCAACACATAAAATTTAATTTGAAAATATAAAGCGGAAGTTGTGTTTTTACTGCGACTGTTTTGATGTGAAAACATCACGTATGTCCAGTTTTTTGCTTATTCATGCCTTTG